CCCCAAAACCCCAAAACCCCAAAACCCCAAAACCCCAGAGGTGAGAATTTGGCAATCTATCTAATTAAAGTAAATTCCAGAATTAATAATTAATATATAAGCCTTACATTAATTTTTGAGCTGAAAAATGAATTTTACTTTGAAGACTCTTTTAAAAAGTTAGTCACTTCTAGTGTCTAAAAAAAGCATCCCTTTATCCATAAAGCAAATGTCCACCTATTTATCAGGCCCTTCTAGACAGATGATGCAAGTCCAGAGAAACATACTCTATTGCTAAAAGATCAATTATTCAACTAAGAATGGTTAAACAATAGATTTAGTTGATTAAAATACTCAAAAGCAGCCCAAGGCTTAGTAGAAAATATAATTTCAAGATGATGTCAATGAGCTTGATGATTTTATGGCAAGTTTAATTGAATCTAAGTTATCTTCTTAAACTCTTAATGAACTTCTCGATTAGCTTCAAGATGACCCGGAAGATGCAAGATTATTAATGAAAGTGATTGCCAAAGCCATTGAGTAATCAGATAAAAAAGAGGAGATTATTGAAGACTTAGTAGATATCGATAGTATTTTGGAGTTTATGCTAAAGAAGGACAGATTGACTTTAAAGGAAATAGGAATGGTGCATACATATTTGAGCATGTATTCAGAATCTGAGAAAGTTATCTCACTTGCAGTTATCTAAGTAATGGATAGCATGCATAGATCCTAGTTTATTGATATTGCATTAGCGCTATAAAATGCTGTTAGACTTGAAAACCAAAATTTGAGGAAGAAATTTGTCAAAGCTGTTGACAACCATATCTAATTCATTAATACCAAGCTACTAAAGGGAGTTCATCTTAATGGAGTGCTTATGATTATGGGAGGTCTTGCAGCTAACTCTGACATTGATCTTAGTTGCTGGCCATAATTAGAAAAACTGCTTGAAGCTGAAATATCAAAAAGAAGGGACCCATTATAAAAACACTAATGCCTTAATCTGGTTTAGTTGCTGTCATAGAAGAAAATAATGTCCCAGAAAATTTGGATGCTTGTAAAGGTAATAAAGGATACTTAGAAGTATTTTGACTTGAAATAAATGAGTCTAGCTGATGTATATATTTTTACACTGGCCATGAAGGACACTCCATTTCTTACAACTGAGGTTAAAAATCATTTGATTGAATACATAGTGGAAGCTGGATATGATGATGAAGATTTACTAACAATTTTAGGAACCAACAAAGTCACCAAATTAATTAATGCTCTCTTGTACGATAACTATGAAAACATCAGCAGCAATTTCTTAGTTCACCTAGATTCATTCTTGCATCACACAGTTGAAATAATGAATATGAAGAAAATCAATAGAGTTATCACTATAATGAGGAGTATGGATTACTTCAAAGATAAATTGATAATGAAAAGAGCTGAAGAGTAATATGAAAAAATGGAGCAACTACTTTAGGAGAGATTTCCAGTAAAGAACTTTGATAGATTTAAAGGTTTAGTAGAAATGTTAGATTCTGATGATGAGGATGAAGGTTTTGAGAAATTCAGAGCTTATGGCAGCTAAAACAAGGATGGCGATGAAGTTGAGGAACTAAAAAAAGGGTTTCAAAGAAAAGCTGGGGCTAAATCAGCCTAGAAACCAACCAAACCTTCTCCTAGAGAGAGAAATTGAATAATTATTGCATTACGCGATGTCGATTTAATTAAACATATCTAATTATATTAACACTTTATTTCATCACTTCTCTAATCATTTGATTGTACCTAGTTAACAATTAATTTTATCAATAAAACTCAATAGAGATTAATGGAGCCTAATACATTTCAGTTGACTTCAATTAGGAATCTAGCAGAGAAATACGATTATTTCTGTTTAGACTGTGATGGTGTCATATGGTCTGGCAATAGGATCATTGATCAATCAATTGATGTCATAAACTGGCTTCACTCCTAGGGAAAGAAGATTTACTTTATCACTAATTCATCTGGCAAGACAAGAGAGGACTATAGAATCAGAATACAAAAGATGGGCTATTCTGAATGTGTAGAAGAACAGATCTATGGCTCTGCTTACACCACTGCCAAGTACATTAAGGAAAAATATCCTGAGATCACCAAAGTAAGAGTAGTAGGAATGAACAGCATAAGAAAAGAGTTGTCAGCTCAAGGAATAGATTCAGAAGGAGGAGAGGATGAGTTAACATTTGATAATTCAACTGGATACATGAGTATGGATGACTTTGAGAAATACCCACTTGACCCAGCAGTCAAAGCTGTTGTAGTTGGTCTAGATACTAAGTATACCTATGCTAAATTGAGTGTGGCAAGTCTATATATTTAAACTGGAGGAGCAAAGTTTATTGCAACAAATGACGATGCATTCGATGTAGTAAATGGTAGAAAGATGCCGGGGGCAGGGGCAATGGTTTAAAGTATTTAGTTTACTTTGGATTAATCGGGCAAGGATAGAAATATTTATAAACCAGAGATCATTGGCAAGCCAAATCCTTATGTTATTGAGTTGATAATGAGGGATAACAATATCACAGATAAAACTAAGTAAGATAAAAATAAAATAAGTTTGACTTTTTTATCAGGATGATAATGATTGGAGACAGGCCTGATACTGATATACTTCTAGGCTTTAATGCAGGAATAGATAGATGCCTCACACTCACAGGAGTGGTAGACAGTCTCGGTAGCATATAGAGTTGGGTTGAAAAAAATGAAAATTTTAGACCCATTTATGTTGTCAAATCTTTTGGAAAACTTGATGATTCAGAGATAAGCTAATGATAAATCTTTCTTAAGATTTCAAATATCTAAATCAACTAATTTGCTTGATTGGGGTTTTGGGGTTTTGGGGTTTTGGGGTTTTGGGG